ACTTGAATCAACACTTTTGTTTCGCGCTCTCAGGATCGTCGAGTATGCGATACAATATATATATATCCGCGCAGCAAAAGTTCGACTGAGCATCCGCCGTCGAGCAAGTAGTTTCTGGACTATTAAAATTTCGAGAAAAGGTCCGCAGCAGTTTCGCGTTCGCGTTGCCCTTGCGAGGAAATCCTTGCAAGATTCCTGAGTTTCCTCTCGTTTATTTTGGTCCCTCGACCCCTTCCCTTGGTTTGAAACGGCAGCCCATCGAGACGTGGAGCTTCCTCTCGCGCTGCTGGTCTGACGAGGAACGCGAAGCTAACCCGAGACCGGTGTGCTCTCTGCATATACGTGTAAGGCATTAGCGTCATCGTACGAAATGTCAGGGTTGAATCGCTGGTAATAACCCGGTTCTTTAACCGCGCTACTATGCAGATTCACGAGCACGTATATACGCGAGCTGGCGACCCTGTTATCGGCCTCGTTAACCACCGCGTAGATATACAAGCGTGGCTGTACCACGATCCGATCCACCACGTGACTATCGATCGATCGATCGATCTTCCTCCGAGAGGAACGCGTCGCACGCTCGCGAAGAAAGTTACACCCAATATTTTATAAATGTTAAAATATTCCGATGTTCAAACGCTGGTTAATTATGTTAATCATACTTGTGGCAATGAAATTTCACAATCAAAAGTCTCGCAGACAAATTCGAAGGATAGAGCGACGCTTGGTTAATAACCAATTGTAACTATTGAAATTGTTACAATTTGTAAAGCAATAACAAACTCGGGCTTGTTTTAAAGCCTTGAAGCCTCTACTTTCAAAATTCATCGTTTATTTTATTCTAAGATATTTTTACACTCTGCAAGAGGGTGGAAGAGTGAAGAGAAGTCTCAGAATTTCAAATATAATTTCCCCTTTTTCTTTCTTTCTTCTTTTTTTTTTTTCTCGATTTATTAAACTTCGAACATCAGAGTACGATTCCTCGAATTTCCATCATCGAAACATTTCTCTACGTTTTCACGTACTATGACAATTTATTGCATTTCCGAGAAGAGAAGTATCCTCGCTCGTTCACGCGTGCGTAAAAATATTTCAGGATAAAACCAAGGATGCTTCCTTCGCTTCAAGCTTTAACCTGAACTCAGATTTATTGTTATATGATTCCTTTTTTTTTTT